GACTCAAGGAAAAAAGCCTCCAAATATCCAAAACCAGGAACAAAAGATTTTTTCAAGAAAGGATAATATTATTTTAAAAAATAGAACAAATGAAAATAGAGGCCTTCAATAGACTCTGCAGGTTACTAAATAAGCTAATCTTTTCCAGAGTATTGAGTAAAATATGAACAAATAAAAATATAAAATCTTTAGTTAGATGTTCATTAATTATTACAATCATAGGAAGCCACGTACCATGTACCAAGAACACACATATTGTACCTTGAAATTTTTCAAAATTATCAGTTAGCTAATAGGTGATTTTTCTCTAATTAAGCCAGTCTGTTCACTTTTGTTCTATAAGTACAATCTGTACCATTAAGCTTTTCTTTCATTCTCTCATTTTCACCTTAAAAAGTTACCATGATCTAAAAGAAATCCTGTTGCTTTACTCAAGCTTTTTACACAGTCTTGCTGGGTTAATAACATGTCATTACCACAGAGTTTTAAAGAGCCTAAAACACAAACCCGGCTTGATGCTAAATTACTTAAGCAGGTGTTCTCATGAATAAGTGTTCACTGACATTTTTGAAATAAAAGGTTATTTTCAAAAGTCTTTAACATGTCAGAGTTTCCATATATCACATCTTTCACTTCAGCTTAGTCTGTAGAAAGCATTTCCATCATCATGAAAAATATTTTTGAGTACTTTGAAGGTGGCATCCTGTTAGAGCTAGAAGTTTCTGATATTAGATAGCTTTGAGTATATTTCTCTTTATGCCACTGCAAATGGCAGAATCAAAAACTGGTCAGAACTTAGACCATGGAATCAGACCATTCTAGAAGAGACATTTTAACTCGACATTATCTTGGCCAGGATAAGCTTTTCTGAATAAGAATTCTTGTTTCTTTCTCGTCTGTATAGAATTTGTAATTGAGTATGGTACCTTAGTCTATTAATTAGATGAAATTTATATGATAAAGCTTTGAAAACTATTAAGCTTTGAAAACTATTAAGTCATATGCTAATACAAAATATTATTAGGTAACATTACTCATATAATGCACGTATTTGCCCTGTGATCCTGGGCTTTCAAATATTTTCTACCAATAGATAGTTCAGAAATAGCTGGAGACTGTAAGGTAGGCTTTAAACCAGGCCGTGTTGCTGAAATAAATAAATACCCTGCACTGTGGCAAATGATTGATTAACTTACCAGTGGCAGGAGAGGCATTGAAAGAACAGAGCTATTATTGATTTGTAAAGGTATTCTTTAGTTTTCAAACATTCTTAAGAAAGAATATATCCTTTAACACAATATTTTCAAATTTCTGCAAAATTCAGAATTCATGCATTTTAAAATTCCTGTTATATATGCGAAGTAATCCTCCGCAATTCACAAATGAACTGTCCAAATTAGAAATTTATAAGAGAACATTTTTCCTGTTGCAACTGTCCCGGCCCATGGCAGTGGTTCATACAGCTATAGCCACTCTCCTACCCAGTTTTCATGGTAAGCGGCAGTCCACGTTTTAAGAGTAGCTCAGAGAGCTAAGATTGGTGGCCTGTGAGTTAGCCAGGCCAGGAGCACAGAGCAACTCTAGCTGCAGTGCAGGGAAGAACAAAACAATACCGACTAGACAAATGTCAGATCTCATTGGCACATCCTTTCAATAGTTGGGCTATAACATGTTCCTTCTCTCTCAGGTGACTGCCGTGCCCTCTTTGTGGGAAAAGCCTCCCTTGGAGAGCAATGGTTGTATGTCCAGCCCTCCCCTAGGAACAACAGCAAAGGGCAACTTGCAGGGTCCACTTCAGAATGTCCCTCTGAACACATCTGACAATAAGCAGCACAAGACCCTGGATGCTGAGCCCTCCCAACAGCCTGGCAGCAGCGAGAAGCTCAGAACCACATGCCAGAAAGCAGAACCCATTTGCATGGGTCATTTCCACAACCGCCTTGTCTTCCAGCAACAGCTGATTGAAAAGCAAAAGAAGAAACTTCAGGAACAGCAGAAAACAATTCTCGAGCTGAAGGAAAACCAGCGGCTTGCAGAGGCTCAGTGGGCAGCAGAGCGAGCCACAGCAGTCACAGACACACACAGGCGCCTGCTGTCAAATCCCAGAGGAGAAGAGGAACCCAAGGGAACCTGCCAGATGCTTCCAAAGTATGTCGATTGTATTGAACTCTGGATTCGTTTTGTGGGATTTTCCACTTTGGGATAGAGAGGCTCCTGAACTGCTTTGCCCTGCTTCTAAGCTCCATGATCTTTTATTTTACACTCTCAAAGCAAAGAAGCCCCATATGTTATGACTGGCACATGGCAGGTATAAATAGATATTTAAGGCAAGTGGCTGCCTATAAGGATCCAGTTACACAGTTAGCATTTGGGTCATGGCTGCCTTTGTCTGAGGAGCTCTGTTACTATACCAGTTAAAGAGAAAAATGTTTACTTGCTCTGGGTAGCCCCTAGATTTCTGGGTTTCTGATATGTTTGATGCTGAGAAGTTAGGTCGTACAACATGGGGTCCACAGAGAGCAGCCCCTGGACTGGCTAATGGCCCACCTTAAATTTATCATTGTTTAGGATAAAACTAAACATCTTTAAGCCTGGAATAAGAGTCCAGATTTCTCAAAAGCCATTTAAGATGGTTTCAGACGTGTTAGAGACATACTCACTATGTATGGTAAAAGACAGGATCAGACGTGTTGATACCTATTGATTCGAAGCACTAGGATGGGAGGCAGAGTACCTGACTCGTATTGGACACTCAGGCCAGTCACTGAACCTCTCCATACAATATTACACCAATTTATAGAGTAGGTATAATAATATCTGGTTAGAGAGTGAGGATTAATTAAAGTCTGTAACAGGCTTTGAACTCCTCAGGTGAAAGTGCTTTGAAGGCAGTTGGTTATTGGTCTGAATTCTTTTTTTTTTCTCTTTTCTGCAATAGATTTTTTTTTTTAATTTCAGAATATTACAGGGGTACAAATGTTTTTGGTTCCATGGATTGCTTTTGTAATGCTTGAGTCAGGATTATAAGTGTGCCCATCACCCAGATAGTGCTCATTGTATCCATTAGGTAGGTTTTCACCTGTCTCTTCCTCCCCTCCCCCTCTGGTTGATTTCCAGTGAGTTTTACTTCCCTCTATGCATATGTGTGCTCCTCAGTTAGTGCCAATTTAATAGGGAGTACATATGGTGTTTGTTTTTCCATTCTTTAGATACTTCACTTAGTATAATGTTCTCCAGTTCCATTCAAATTGTTGCAAAAGGCATTAAGTCATCCCTCTTCGTGGCTGAGTATTATTCCGTGGTATATGTATACCACATTTTGTTAATCCAGTAATGAATTGATGGGCATCTGGGTTGATTCCACATCTTAGCAATTGTGAATTGTGCTGTGATAAACATTCAAGTGCAAGTTTCTTTTTGATAAAATGACTTCTTTTCCTTTAGGTAGATACCCAGTAGTGGGACTACTAAATCAAATGATAGGTCTACTTTTATTTCTTTGAGGAATCTCCATACAGTTTCCCATAGAGGTTGTACTAATTTGCAGTCCCACCAACAGTGTATAAGCATTCCTTTCTCTCTGCATCCACACCAGCATCTGTTGTTTTTGGACTTTCTAATAAAGGCCATTCTGACTGGGGTAAGGGGAAATCTCATTGTGGTTTTAATTTGCATTTCCCTGATGATTGAATTCTTTTCCTTTATTTTTCCCTCAGTTCGCCTGTTGCTTCCCCTGGGACTGAAGGCAGTAGAAGTGACTCCCGCAATTCTCTTTCTGGACCCAGAAGGAACCCAAAGCAGCTGATGACAACCCATCCCATATTGAAAGGCAGGGCTGTCTTGGTTGTGGCCTTCGTGGTGGTGATCTTTCTTTCTAGAATAGAAGATGGTGGGATTGAATCCTGGCAACTCTAAGGTCTTGAGACTTGGCAGACTTGGTCAAAATCTCAAATGAGCAGACATGCGAAGAGTGGAACGGAACTTGCCAGAAAGCTCCACTACTTTTTTTCGTGCCCCTCTTGCCAAACTTTTTGGCCTTCAGCCAACACAAGAAAACATTGCTGAAAGGTGTATCATTTTTTTGTAATTCAAGATTTAGATTGTGGCAAAAAAAAAAGGGATAAGTACACAAATGAGAAAACTCTGAGTAGCTGCTAAGGCTAAACACTGATAAAGATAACCTATCATTGTACTTTGTTAATGTTAAAATATTGATCAGTTGCCAGAAATATAAGGCAAGTTATTGTATCATTTTAAAAGGAGTTATGCCTTGATGATAGGGTTTTAATAATGAAATCTACAAACCAGATATTTTAATTTGATAACATTTTCGATGCACATAGAAACCCTTATTTAAACTGAACGATACTATGAGAAGCATTGCTTGGAACACACCTGGTGAATATGCTAATTGTTTTTACTGTATACTTAGTCACTCACTGTACATATGTTTGCATATAGTGGTCAGTCCTTTGACAGTTATATTAAGGTTTATAAATTTGATTTTTTACCTGTGGCAAGATTGCTGCTCTAACAAGAAGTAATGACATCTGAAAGACACTGTGCCTGCAGTCAGTTTCTATTAGTAAAGAAATTGGCAGTTTTTGTGCTGTCTTCTAGGACAGCAGCTTATGTTGACTTTGCCTACCACTGACGCTGATGAGGAAATGCCCAGTTAGCTATGATCATTTTTAAAAAATTATTATTTGATTAAAGAGTTTGCTATTTTAGGATCCCAGTCTACTTTTCAAGTAGTCTTTAATGATTAGATCTAGAATAGATGGGGAAGGGGCTTATTACCAGAGACTCTGCTCTTCAGGGGTCTCTCACTTTAATCCCCTAATCTATTTCTGCCTTCTTAGAGACAGTCTCACTCCCACCATCTGGGGTACCACCATTCTTTTGCAGCAAAGCAGATACTTAATATCAGTAAGAAATAGCCTGATGAGTTTTTTGTTTATTAATTCTTTTTTCTTTTCTTTTTTTTTTTCCTTTTTCTTTTTTTACCCTGAAGGATATGCAGGGAGATGTTTATTAATTCTTAAAAGTTGGACTTACATTCTCTTCTCTGTAACATGGCACAAGGAACTGAAAGTAACAATTGGCTGGCTTAGGTGAGCAGAACTTGAATCTCCTCCCACCCATGTCCCTCTTCCTATGAAAGCCCCAACTGATTATAGAGTCATATTATCAGACCATCTTGCACATTTGTTTCTTTTGGATCGATATTTAATAGACTGTCAAGAACAGGAGTCTGACACTCAAACTTGTTCAGATGCCAGTTCTCCAAATGCCTGGTACAATTCCATTTCCTGCCCATCTGTATCTCCAGGCCTTAAAACTAGATTAAAATATATTCATCGTGACCCCAAACTTCAGTTTATTTGTTGTTGTTCTTACATATACAGACATATGTACAGTGACTTAAGAAAAATTAACAAACTCATTTAATGGGATTTGAGGAATGAGCCTATTCTCAAAGTATTTGTTAGATATAATTAAAGTTTTCTACATTCATCAAAGGTATAATCAAATTAAAATTCTGGTTTCTGGGTTTCACATAAAAGTCTACCATTAATGCTCATTACCTTATTTAAACCAGTAAACAATTCTTTTAATAAAAATGTAAATAATAAATTGTTCATCGTTGCTGACGATGGGATTGTAAGTCTTTAACATGTAGAGTGTATATAAGGTCTATATATCTCTGTATATATTTTCTGAGATGGTAAACACTCAAGTTGCAAGAAAACTCTAACAATAACACTAAATTTTACTATGAAATGGAGACATTTCTTCACGTTCCTCATATTTTTCAAATATTAAAAATATTGGAACTCTGTTACTATTTTCTAGCTATGGAAGAGAGAGCAATTCAACGAGCTGAACGTAGGCGAATCTTGGCAGAAAGGAAGAAAAAACAAGAAGAAGAGAAATTGGTAATAAATTCAGAATGCAAACTGAGTCAAGAAAAAGGATTTGTCTAGGTCTTTCTTAAAAAAAGAAACCTTGCTCTTTCAAGCCTCTTGAGACAATAGAGTTAGATCAACTTTGGAAATGGCTTTTGGCCTACTTGCCTGAATTCCGTGACAATTTTAGAGGGGGAAAAGGGGAGAAAAAACATCAATATCATTAGCATAGCAGGAAGGAAATGTTACAAAAGTTGATCAGCGCTAACAGATTGGAAGATTTACACGTAATCAAATTAGCATGTTATAGGTAAATGTCCGACCTAATAAATTTGCAAAAGGGGATAGTTCTTATCTTCCAAAGTTTTGACCTAGACTGTCAGAAGTTAAGTTGCACCTATGAAGAAAAAAATAAACAGTTTTAACAGTTTGGGTTTTGGAGTTTTTTGGTGAAATGAAATAAAAGGTTTTTTTTCCCCCACATTGTTTACAATTTAGACTTAGCTTTTCACAAATGAAATAAGAACTAAAAAGTAATCATCTTATGATAAAAAATTAATGGTCTTATTCATGCTCAGTCTATTATTCAAGTAGAAAAGTATCCTTTTGGAGAAACTTTTAAGTTACGTAACTGAAAACATATTAGTTGGGTTTTCTACTTTTATCACAAAGCGTAGACGCCTTCCAGAGATAGGACAGGCACTTTGGTAGACACTTGACTATCTTGAACATAAAAGATCATATTCCCATACAAATCAAGAATTCTGATTTTTCTGCATTCTAATCTTGATCAGGCCCAGTTGAAGGCCCAAGAGGAAGAGCGTCAGAAAAGGGAGGCAAAAGAAAAGGAGGCAGAACTTGAGAGAAAACGAGAAGAGAAGAGACTGAGGAAAATGGTTAGTAGTATCTGGTTGGTCAGTCCCTGTCTCTTGAGGCCTGTTGTGTGTGATGCTGTGGCCCTGTCACCCTCCCCAACCCAGAACTTGAGTCTGGAATACTCTTCTCTCATCTCCAACCCTTTTCTCTATCTTATTTAGTGGAAAGCTACTCATTCTTCAGATCTTAGCTCAAACATGACTTCTTCCAGATTCACCTTTCTTGCTTTGAACAGCTAGCTCCCTGTCCACTTAAGGTCAGCTTTAGGTCCCCTTTGTAGACTCTTATAAAGTATCTTTCCTTCACAACATTACTGATGTTTATAATTGTACATCTGTTTTATGGCTGTTTGATTCATTTCTATATCCCCAACTAAACTGTAATCATAAGAGTAAAGAGAACAGACTGGTGTTAATCATTATTGCATTGGCTAGCAGTGTGCCTGAAATCTAATAGGCACTCAGCAAATATATGTTGAACAAGCAAATACATGAATCAACAAGTGAATGAACAAATGAAAATAACACCTAGAAGAAATAAAAAGACAAAGCTCTTACTTTCAAGGTTATTAAATTCTAGTTGAGAAGATAAGGTCTAAAAATACATACCTGGCCAAGTGTGATGGCTCATGCCTATAATCCCAGCACTTTGGGAGGTTGAGGCAGGAGGATTGCTTTAGGCCGGGAGTTCAAGACCAACCTGGACAGTATAGTGAGACCTCATCTCTACAAAAAAGTTTAAAATTAGCCAGGCATGATGGCATGTGCTTGTAGTCCTAGCCATATGGGAGGCTGAGGCTGGAGGATTGCTTGAGCCTAGATGTTCAAAGTTGCAGTAAGCTATGATTGTGCGACTGCACTCCAGCTTAGGCTACAGAGTGAGACATCATCTCTAAAAAAAAAAAAAAAAGAAAGAAAACACACATTCACCTGTCAGAGACAATATATCAATAGTACAGTAGAGCATTTGCTATCGTGTGCTACACAGACCAAAAGAGATCAAGAGAGTCATACAAAGCAAGATCCGTGAAGATTTTGGAGAAATTAGAGGCATTTTCATGGAAAGGAAATTCGAATGGGGAATTGTGTTAGTCAGGATTCTCCAGAGAAATAGAACCAGTAAGACATACATATAAGAAAAGATTTATTATAAGGAATTGACTCATGCAATTATGGAAGCTGAGAAGTCCCATTATCTTCGTCTGTAATCTGGAGACCCAGGAAAGCCAGGGGTGTAATTCCAGTCCAAGTCTGAAGCTGGGGGAGATCAGGGGAGTTGATGGTGTAAATCCAGCCTCAGGGCAGGAGAAGACTAATATCCCAGCACAAGCTGGCAGGCAGGAAGCAAAAAGGGGCAAATTCCTCCCCCTTCCTCCTTTTAGTTCTATTCAAGCCCTTAATGGATTGGATGATGCCCACCAACATTAGGGAGGGCAATCTACTAAATCCACCAAATGCTAATCTCATCAGGAAACACCCTGCAAACACACCCAGAAATAATGTTTATTCTGCAACCCTGTGGTACAGTCAAGTTGACACATAAAATTAGCCATCACAAGTTCACCCTTTGTCAACTTGGCCCCTATATACATCTTCTTAAACCTTACGTAATCTGCAAATAAGGACAAGAGCAAGACCATAATTCTACCTAAAATGATACAGCTATCCCACATACAATGGAAAACATACTAACCCCTTCCTCAGAAGAGGAAGTAAAGTCCTTGGGTATTGTTTACTCTTCTCCTTGATATCCCATAACTTAAATGCTATGATGTAAAATTAGCAATACTTAAATACTGTGACAAAAGTCAGTACATCTTCTGTTACATGATAAGGGAATAAGAGGAAAGAAAATGCACAAATGTATTCATAGGAAAATGATAAAATACTCATGACAATTACAGTTTTTGTTTCTGTAACCTGATACATGGTCACCACTGATATTTATAACTACTTTCTTCCGCTACCCACTCTGTATTTCCTTTGCCTTCAGCAAGCAACTCAGCTGCTATGTAGTCCTACCTGGATTGAGTTGTTGTAGTTTCCCACTGACCTTGATCACAGGGCATGGTAATACTAAGAGACACCCTAAGGGATCTCCTGTATTCCAGACATATTCTTTCTTACCTCCGTTGTGAAGTAGTAGTTCAGTTTCCCCTTGGCAGTCAAAATCAGTCACCCTAGCTAGCACCATAACTCCCTTCTTTGTTGATTCAGTGACACAAGAAGCCCAAAATGGCCAGGAGGCAGTCTTAACTTCCAGTTCAATGGAATTGTTGTGTCCCCTGGTGGAAGCATTCTCCCTCTGCAGCCAAGACCTCCAGGCCAATAGAGCATAAAGTCATGGGAACAGGAAGCAAAAATTTTGCTAGTGGGTTACTAGAGGTAATGGTGAGTGTTGCCACTTCCACTTCCATCCCTTGATTCCTGGACCCATGAATCCTTGCTGTCAGAGAAACCAGACCATGTATTGAACACTGATACAGAACATGTACAGCCTTCTGGAGAACCTTGCCCCAGCCCTGTAAGGTATTGCCACCTAGCTGGTGCTATAACTGAGTCTTCAAAAGGCCATTCTGCTGTTCTACCAAGCCAGCTGCTTCTGGATGGTGAGAAATATGGTAATCACAGTGAATTCCATGAGCATGGCCCATTGTCACACTTCTTTGCTGTGAAGTGAGTTCCTTCGTCAGAAGCAATGCTGTGTATAATACCTTGATGGTGGATAAGGTGAATCTGTAAGTCCACAAATCATGATTTTGGCAGAACGATTGTGTGCAGGAAAGGCAAATCCATATCTAGATAGAGAGTAAGTATCTATTCTAGTAAGATCAAAACACTGCCCCTTCCATAATGGAAATGGTCCACTGTAATCAACCTGCCACCAGGTAGCTGGCTGATCACCCTGGGGAATGGTGCCAGATCAGGGACTCCGTGTTGGTCTCTGCTGCTGGCAGGTTGGACACTCAGCAGTGCTCTTAGCCAGGTCAGCATTGGCGAGTTGAAGTCCATGTTGCTGAGCCTTTGTATAACCTTCAGCCCTGCCACCATGGCCACTTTGTTCATTAGCCCATTGGGCGATGACAGGGGTGGCTAGGGAAGAGGCTGACTGGTACCCAGGTCATCCTGTGCATGGAGCAAAATGTCAAGGCATATATAATTCATCCTTTTCTAAGTCAGCCTAAGAAATCTCTAAAAATACTCAGTTTCCTCCCTTAAAAACTATGGTGAGGGGCTCTATAATAGCATTTCCCCAAAATGTGTTCCATAGGACCCTAGTGGTTTCTGAGATACTAAGTTGTCTTGAGAAAGTCTTAAGTTCTGTGGTCAAATAAGTTTGGTAAATGCCAGTTAAAATAAAGTAAAACAAGTTTCTTTATTATTAAATAGTTGACTTCTTAGAACCTTTAACATGCTACCAGGCATTATGAGTCCCCAGAGGAGGGACACAGTGTGCCAGGTAGTCACATATATCTGACCACAGAACCCTTTTTTTATTGAGCACCCAGTAACACCTCATAGGACAATTTGGGGTCATGCTACTATAAGTCAATGAACATTTTAAAAATATACAGTATAAAAAATTTCTCCTCTCATATATGTTCACTGTAGAAAATTTGAGAAATAAAAATACTAGGAAAAAAATCTCTGAGCTCAGCATTAAGAATTAACTACTCTTAAAATTTCAGTGTATCTACTTCTGGTTTTCTCTGTACATTTCTCTTTTAATAGTTAGGTTCATCATTTGTATGTATGTAGATGTATATAGTTTTTAAGCTGCTTCTTTCATTTAAGATTCTGTCATGAGTGTATTTGCTTGCCATCCAGAATTCTTCAAGGCCTTTTATTTTATATGAAGACTATCATTTATTTATTTATTTATTTATTTTATTTTTTTGTCTGAGACAGAGTATTGCTCTGTTGCCCTGGCTACAGTGCCGTGGTGTCAGCCTAGCTCACAGCAACCTCAAACTCCTGGGCTCAAGAGATCCTTCTGGGCCGAGCGCGGTGGCTCACACCTGTAATCCTAGCTCTCTGGGAGGCCGAGGCAGGAGGATCGCTTGAGGTCAGGAGTTCGAGACCAGCCTGAGCAAGAGCGAGACCCCGTCTCTACTAAAAATAAAAAGAAATTAATCAGACAACTAAAAATATGTAGAAAAAATAGCCAGGCATGGTGGCGCATGCCTGTGGTCCCAGCTACTCGGGAGGCTGAGGCAGGAGGATCGCTTGAGCCCAGGAGTTTGAGGTTGCTGTGAGCTAGGATGACGCCACGGCACTCTAGCCCGGGCAATACAGTGAGACTCTGTCTCAAAAAAAAAAAGAAATGTGTAATTGTTTAAAACATTATACCTGCTTTAAACAGCCATTCATTGCTGGCTTAAGGGCTGATTCTACATGTAAGTGAAATCATGCAGTATTTGTCTTTCTGTGTCTGGCTTCTTTTACTTAGCATAATGTCTTCCAGATTCACCCATGTTGTTGCAAATGACAGGATTTCCTTCCTTTTAAAGGCTGAACAATATCCCATTGTATGTGTGTGTGTGTCTATCACGATTTCTTTATCCATTCAACGTATTCATCCATCTGTGGACACTTAATTTGTTTTCATATCTTGGCTATTGTGAGTAATGCTGCAGTGAACATGGGAGTGGAGATAACTCTTCAAGATAGTGATTTTATTTCCTTTGGATATGGCTAGAAATGGGATTGCTAGAATATATGGTAGTTTGTTTTTAATTTTTTGTAGAACCTCCATACTGTTTTTCATTATGACTGTGCAAATTAGTAAATAACATTCCCATCAGCAGTGTGCAAGGGTTCTTTTTTCTCCATATCCTTGCCATCACTTGTTTTCTTTTGATTTTTTGATAATAGCCATCCTAACAGATGTGAAGTTATATCTCATTGTGGTTTTGATTCACATTTCCTTGATGATTAGTGGTGTGTGAGCACCTTTTCATATACCTGTTGGCCATTTGTATGTCTTCTTTGGAAAAATGTCTTTCTAGGTCCGTTGCCCA